TCAAATAACACATTTTTATGAAAGGATTATTAATATGTGCTTCCAAAAAAAAAAAAAAAGACTCTTACGAACGTCTTGCCCCAAAATGTGCTTCGCATTTGATTTGTGCAAACTGAGGGACAAGTCGGAATTATTTTCTGTTCTAATCTGTGACAGCAAGTCACAGATTAGCATAACTCGTAATACATTTTCCCATTTGCACATTATGTGTTTACAAATCATTTCATTCTTTCTCTTTGATCCACTGACATTAATACACATTGTTCTTGCAGTGAGAGTGCATCCATCCTTCGGCTCCACTGCTTAAACCGAAAGAAAAAAACCATCACTTTGACATTATTTATTTATTTTTCTGACTTAAATGAACCTCTCTTTACTTGAGGAATTGGACCCATTCCTTCCTGTATGCAAATGAGCTCCAAGGAACCACGAGTTCAATTAACGTCCATGTTTCCAGCAACTGAGCTCAGAGATTTACTTAATCTCTCTCTCTCTCTCTCTCTCTCTCTCTCTCTCTCTCTCTCTCTCTCTCTCTCTCTCTCTCTCTCTCTCTCTCTCTCTCTCTCTCTCTCTCTCTCTCTCTCTCTCTCTCTCTCTCTCTCTCTCTCTCTCTCTCTCTCTCTCACACACACACACACACTCACTCACTCACTCATATGAAGCAGCCTCGCCCTTCATTATATGTGCCCGCACAGGTGTGAATAGACAGAAAGGTCAAGAAGTAAAACCAAAGATGGATCAGTATGAGATTAGGCAACATTTTCAGAGAAAAGGTTGCGCTTGATGAATAACGGGAGAAAAGTCAGAAATGGATCTGAAATCTGCGGTCACATGTTTGGGAGTAACTTTAGGGAAATACATTTTCAGTCGTATAACAGTATTCAAATGTTTGTCCTGTGCTGTAACAATACAGTACTAATTTCTCTGAGAACTAGCGTAACAAGTGTTGGTTTTGATGTTGTACACACAAAGCCTTTCTGTTACAGGTGGGTAAAGTGAGACCTTATCAAACACGCTCTATGAAACCAACATGACATCATGACTTTGCGTAAACATACACGCCACTTTCAAGTCAAGTGGTGTTATCTATACGCATTTTGAGCTATCCGCGTGTATGTCCACGCCGAAATCTTTTGCTTGTACTGTATGTCTACGCCATTAAATGTCCGAGTGATTCCGCGTGTATGTGTACGCCGTTAAATGTCCGAGCGAAACGAAGCAAAATCTATATCTACATCTGTGGAGCGATATTTCTTTTCCTAGGATGGTAGGACTCAGGAGAACACTCATAAATGGTATTAACCCCAGTGACGGGTGGGTTTAGGGACGGGGTTGGGGTAGGTCATATATTTATATATATATATAATACAGTAATATAACGTTAAGTCAAATGCGTTGATAAACACGCTGAAAAGCGATTATGCGTGTTGATAGCACGCCAAAAATGGAAATACGAATTGGCCTGCCAGACCATTGGAAAATCGGAATAATTTCAGCGGTGTTCAGTGATTTGTTCATCGAAATGGATCAGTTGATGAATAGAAAGTAGAAAGGTCTGCTTGCTTGTGTGAACTCCTCTGACCTAGCTCTGTCCTCTAATGCCAGTCCTTCATTAAGCAGTCGTCTTTCTGCATTCACACATCTAGAAATATCCTCCCTGTGTGTGGGTTTGAAATGTGAGAAAATGAAACTAAACTTAGCGTCAGAACATCAGACAGAACATTTCCCCTGTTTGGCCTTCATGCCAAGCGTTGGCCGATACTGCATCATCTCTCGCTCCCCAACGCGTCTTTCCGAACGAGTATTCATGTTTGATATGATCGATGCATTGGCTGAAATCCTCAGCATACGCTGTGACTGTTTATGTACAGCTCGTGTTTGGTCCTCTTGATGCAGATTACGTCTAGTAACCAAAGAGGGGTTTCTAGTGAAAAATACCCACTGCGATCTGATTCAGAAGAGAGTTTAACTACGCCAGTAAAAAAAAAACGGTATTAACAAAGTACAATGTGGGTGTTTGTCCACCTCACGATGTGGGATGTAGTGCACTGAGTAAGAGGAGAGTTTCACAGAGATGCATTAAGGGAATAGTTCATCCAAAAATGAATAATGTCATCATTTATTCACACAGATTTGCATGATATGATCGTACGGAGCCTCTAAACTGGGACCTATGCAAAAGAAAAAAAATATGTATATACAGACTATGAATATACAATTTCCGGTTTATGTATACAAAAACATATTTCATTAGTGCGTCACTGCCATTTTACTAAGAAAAAAAAAAAAGAGTATGAATGTGTAACCGGTCCTAGCGCTAACAAGGAGACCTGCGGCCTCTAGTGTCATTCACCAGAGCGCTGCTTGAGGCCAGGGGAGTGAGGTTTACACACAGCTCTTACTGGCCTGAGCACATTAATTATTAATAAAGCTGTATTTGCTCAATTTGGCTTTTGTTAGGGCAGTATAGGCTATCTCTAATATCACAGCCTTATGTCCGCTTGTGACCGCCGAGAAACCACAACGTGAAATGGCTGAAGGTGCGATACGGCTGTGTGCATTGGCAAGTTCAGTCGGTATAGTTATTATTTTTGCAAAGGTTTCTTTAGGGCAGGGATTGGGAACATTGGTCCTGGAGGGCCGGCTGTCCTATAGAGTTTAGATCTGACCCTAATCAAACACACCTGAACAAGCTAATCAATGTCTTCAGGGTTTCTGAGGCTACAGGTGAGGGTTTTTTCAGGGTTGGAGCTAAACTCTGCAGGACAGCGGCCCGCCTGGACCCACGTTCTCCATCCCTGCTTTAGGGGCTCTGTATGATCGTTTGCATAAATCAGTTTCATATTAGAAGATGGAGGATGAGAAGAAACCGCACAAACGTCGGTTCTTGAATGTATCGTGACGTCTGGTGAGATTTTCGAGCTGGTGAAGGGGTTTTGCTGTGTTTCTCACAAAAACGTACTGTATTCTGAAGACATGAAATATAATGCTTAAGTCATAGTTTTATGGTGTTTTTAGGCTTTTTTTTTTTTTTTTAGCTTGGCAGCAAACGGTCACTTTGTACATCAATATAAAAATAGCACCCTGTACATTCTGCAAAACATCTCCTTTTGTGTTCCACAGGGGGGGGGGGAAGACAGATTTTGTGGGGAATCACAAACACTTCATTTTTGGTGAACTATTATTTCTTTAAAGGGATACTCCACCCAGAAATTAAAATTCTGTCATCATTTACTCACCCTCAAGTTGTTGCAAACCTGTATGAACCGGTTTCTTTCTTCTGCTGAACACAAAGGAAGATATTTTGAAGAACGATTGGAACTTTGGCACCATTGACTTCCATGGTATTTTTTTTTCTACTATGGAAGTCAATGGTGTCAAACAACTGTTTGGTTCCAATCGTTCTTCAAAACATCTTCCTTTGTGTTCAGCAGAAGAAAGACACTCATACAGGTTTGCAACAACTTGAGGGTGAGTAAATGATGACAGAATTTTCATTGTTGGGTGGAGTATCCCTTTAAGGCTTTTGAAGCAGTGTGTGTTGTGAATCACATAGGCCTATTCTTGATTCTTTCTGTCAATATTGTTGAAAATTAAGTTTATATATTAGAGGCATATTATCTAAATCACAAACCTCCGCTTTTTGCCACTTTCACCAGGACACTGCACACATATTGGGACAGGACCTACATTCACCTACTAAAATACTCCATGCAAGTGTCCATGCAGATCACTACAGTTATTTTAGTCACAGGATCCTCACAGATGAACTCTTTTCAGAAGGTCCAAATGCTGTTTTACACTGGCACAACTGTCATTTGCTTGAATAACACATTGTTTTTTAATGTCCAGATGTCTAGTTCAATTTATTTGAACGGTTTATTCGGACAAGGATCCTGTTTTATAGAGAAGCAGCATGCATTCAGACAAGATTCAACTATATCATGATGGTAAATAGTAACTGAAAACTTAAACTGTCACAGGATAGTGTGTGGTCAGGGCAAATTGTCACATATATTGTCTTTTTTTACATTTAATTGCAATATTTGTTGGTTTGATGTTTCTTTGTTACCTTTAACATGTTTGTTGTTTCATAAATTTTGTTTCAAAATGTTTTATAGCGGTGTGTTAAATTAACTATATATTTTTTCCACTTTTTAATCACGTGATAAATGTTAAATGACTAATGATCATATTTCACTGGCTCTTCGGCTGAGCGAACATGTATCCATTGCCTGGCACATTCTCTCTGCACAACATGCGCGCGCGCACACAAAAGTTCACACAGGAACAGTAACAAGGAATTGAACGAATTTTACTATGAAGTTGATTTTTAATGTAATCATGTTAATGTTATGTATATACATTGAGCAAGAATATATATATATATATATATATATATATATATATATATATATATATATATATATATATATATATATATATATATTCTTGCTCAATGTCTATCGCCTTACCGCGCACGTAGACTGTGCTGTCAAAATGTCAATGCCACGTTATAATGGACTATTATAGAAATACATGTAAACGAACATTTGTTTCTTTGCACTTCACAATGATGTGTTTCTCTGTCCATTTACGTGGTGGGGGGTTTCTGACATTTAATTGCTCTTAAACCCGTGTATGATGCACATTATGCAACATAATCCGATAGGTGAGACCAGACGTAACGAACGGCTGCAGATGATTTAACTTTGAAAAAACGATTTGAAATGATCTGAATTCACTCTTTTCCGAGGTCACCTGTTGAGTGAGAAAATTGCACACAAAAAAAATCATTTCATGCTGAGATCGTAACGCACACACACTCGCGCTTGTGCAGTGTAGAGTGTCATCTGTGTGCGCGCTTTAGTGATGTGTGTGTGTGTGTTTTTTTTTTTTCTCAGGCTGGCACACACTGAAGTCTGCCAGCGGACGCTCGCGGTGGCATACCGTGACAGTGCAGCTTTCCCGGAGCGGAACCAAACGAGAGTCGAGTCCAGCCATGCGTCACCGGAGAAACAGATGGACACATTCGCGCTCGGACCTGTTGTTCGTGTGACCATCCAGCGCATTAAACTTAGCGTCTCGGTAATCCAGGGGAAATAAGTGAGTTTCCCCTGGATTGGATCACGTTTGGAGCATCAGACGTGCGCTGCGCGTCTCCGCCGCTCATCAGATGATGCGTGATCACGGGTCCTCCTCCGGTACCTCCGGCATTACTCACGCACCGGCAGAGTGAGAACAGCTTAAGATGATCCTCAGATGAACAGGTCGGGGAAACTTTTTTTCTTGAAGATGTTCAGGGGAGCTTCGGTCTTCGTTTGGATTTCTGATGGCCACGGCAAAGAGTTTGTTTAAACGCACAAAGGAAATTTAACAGGTGCGTAATTGTCAGTCGAGCATGTATCCCAGTGGCTTCTGGCACCTACTCCAGTTCAGAAGCTCTTTGGAGATCACGCGGGGAGCGCGCTAGTTGATGGCACTGCGCGCCGGGAGGACTTTGCTGTGGTTCGGGCAGGTTTTGCGCAGAGTTTCGCGGCTGCAGGGCTTGTGGTCCCGGCGCTCCAGCAGTCTGCTGTGTCTCTCGGCCAGCCAGGACCACGACCAAGGGACCTGTTACTACCGCAACCGGTGTCCGAAGACGCATCAGCAGCAGCAGCAGCACTGTCCCTATCCGCCCTTTCCAGACTGCTGCTGCGCCTTCCCGGGGGAAAAGAGGGGACATGAACCCCTCAGCCGCCGGTTCCTGGTGGCCATGAAGAGGCAGAACGTGCGGACGCTGTCCCTGATCGTCTGCACGTTCACCTATCTGCTGGTCGGGGCCGCGGTGTTTGACGCGCTCGAGTCGGACTACGAGATGCGGGAGAAGGAGCAGCTGGAGGCGGAGGAGAAGCGCCTCCAGGGCAAGTACAACATCAGTGAGGATGACTATAAAAAGCTGGAGACCATCATCTTGGAGGCCGAACCGCACAGAGCAGGGGTCCAGTGGAAATTTGCAGGGTCCTTTTACTTTGCCATCACTGTCATAACCACTATCG